ATCCTGACCGTGAGTTCAGTGAGTTCACCTTAGTCTGTGTGTATGTGTGTATGTATGCATGTGTGTATGTATGTATGTATGCATGTGTGTATGTATGTATGTGTGTATGTATGTGTGTATGTATGTGTGTATGTATGTGTGTATGTATGTGTGTATGTATGTGTGTGTATGTGTCTTTCAGACTTGCTGTTGGAGTTCAGAGGGTTAAAGGAAAGAAAAAGCATTTTCTACTGAACTAAATTTGAAGATTAGAATCAACTCATTTCAACAGAAAATCAGAAATAAACATTTAGTTTGTTAGAACTTTGCTGTTTTGAGTTTTTAACTTCAACTGTGGAACTTTTTAAATGTTATAAGAAGCTGTAAGAAGACGAAGTGTTGTTGATACGCTGACATCACAGAGGACAATCATTGGTGCTGCACCTTCTCTGTGTTTGTATAATGACATCACTGACCAATAGGAGCACAGAGACTATAACCACAGGAAGGAGACGGCTCCGCCCTCCAGTGGCATCACACCTGCTGCTGCAGACGGGGAGCTGTGATTGGTCGAGGACTGAGGTGTCTGAACTCTGATCCTGATTGGTTGTTGAAGCCTCTTTGTATATTCATACCCTCCCTGACAATGGTACTTAAAATCTTTAAGGCCCTAAACTGAAATAACACCCGGCTGGTAGTGGTTCTGTTAGCTTAGTATGATGCTAACGGCGCTGCTGCTGCTGCTGCTGGATCCTCCGTGTCTGGTGCTCTGCTGGTGTTTGGAGATGAAGGCACATGATTCAGTGTGAGCCTCTGTGTGTTTGGACAGTCCAGGTGAAGTGTTCTGGAGCGGTGCCCCCTGCTGGTCAGACAAACAGAAACCTTTTGGTGCATCACTATGATCCCTTCAACAGTTTGACATACAGAACAGGTACAGCTCTATGAGTGCGGTGGTCCTCTATCTGCAGGTGAAGCTGCCGTCCGTCTACTGCAGCTTCTCCTCGTTGTTGTTGTTGTTCAGGAGGCTGAGGTTCAGCTCGAAGCCCGACTCTTTCCTCAGCGCTCGCGGCTTCAGCTTCTTCTTGACGAACAGCCGCTGCAGCAGCCAGTTGCTGAGGCTGAAGGGACAGTAGGTGTGGATGAAGTACATGAGGCCGACGCCCGGCCCAGCGTAGTACTGCGGCCGCGGCTGCGGCGCTAGCAGCGCCTGGACGATGGTGTCCACCACGGGGCTGAAGTCGGTGCTGGCCTGGCTGGCGTAGCTGTGGAACAGCTCCTTGGTCTCGTCCACGTAGTCCTCGCCGTACTCCTCCAGCAGCGCCGGAGACAGGCCCTGCAGCAGCTGCTTGTGCTGCTGCTCCCAGTAGGCGGCGTTGCTGGAGCGACCTGTAGGCAGAGAGCAGCGTTACCACGGCAACCGCATCACACGTGCGCAGGTACAGCGAGTCACAAACTCACTGTACAACCATCTGTAAACGCTGCACACAACTGTACAAACAGCCAAAGAAACCAAACAGCAGATCTCTGTGATACCATCATGTTTCAGCTGCAATAAAAAAAAATGTTCCAGGATGTTCCAGGATGTTCCAGGATATCATAAAACATCCTGAAATATCCTGAAAAATTGTTTCAGGTTATTTGTCAGGATGTCTCAGGTTGTTTCAGGTTATATGTCAGGTCCCTTCCAGCAGCCAGTAGGTGGCGCTGCCGCTGCTGGAACCACATGATGGGATGTGTGAGCTGATCTGACAGTCGGGTGAAGTTCACGGCCGTGCTGGACATGGGCCAGGAGCCGAGTAACAGCAGGATTAGAAGCATCAACACAAACCTGTTCCTGCAGGATTAGAGCGTAAACATGAGGATAAAGTGTGCCGATGCCGAGCGCTGCGTCCAATCAGACGCCGGCGCCGCCTCAAGCATGTTTGTTCTGTTTCTGCTCAGTTCTGCGTCTTTATATGTCAACGTGCTGCTTTAGTCGGGACGCTGAGGTGAGCGAAGAACGAAGCGTCGGAGACCCAGGACCAGCTGCTAAAGCTCCGGTCTGTAGACTTTGGTTTCGATCGTCACCGTGTGGTTCGATGTTCAATAAAGGACGTCTGAATGTCCCAAAGGTTCGGATAAAACAAGAGAATCAAATCAAAATGACCTAAAAATGTTTAAAAAAAATATCCGTTCTTTCTCAAACTTGCAGAAAATATGCAGAAAAATTCTAATAAAAAGTTCCACAAATATTCATAAGCATCTAAAGGATAAAAAAATGTTTTTTACAACAATCAGAAAATGCAGGACTTAAAAAAAAAAAAAAAATGGAAGAGAAATCAAGTAAAAGTTTGGAAGCAGGTTTTTCTGTTTCTTCGTCTTTGCAGTATTTTTACTTTAAAGTCAATGAAGCAGAAACTCACGTATGAGTACGAACAGCAGGAGCAGGAATCAGACTGACCGCAACATGTCAAGTCCAGTTCCAGAACCTTCCGGAACATCTTCCTGCTGTTATCTGAACACACTGTAGTTCTGAAAGCAGTACTTCAGTGAAACCTGAACATCTGCTTCGTTCATCACCAACCAGCTGAATCCTCACTTAAACCCGACAGACGCTGAGAGCTGCTTCGCTCGCTCGGCCAATAGGACGACTGCGAGCGACTCTTCGTCCAATCACGTCCTTCCGTCCCCGAGGAGTCCAAACCCGCCAGTCAGCAGTTTGTGTGGGAAAGCAGATGTTTGTCCACATGTGGTCCTCATTCAGGGAGTGTTTTCCTCAGCAGGAGGCCAAACCGCAGGATACAAGGCCCGGAGGAGCAGAACCGGAACCAGAAGTGGAGCTGGATCCAGACTGACCAGAGACCAGCTGACCACACCTGCTCAGGCTGCCCCTTCACCACCTGAGCTGCGTTTCACACTCGGGTTTCTTGTTGCTGTGTCGGATGAAGGTTTTCTTTTAAGCCTCTTTTGGACTTTTTTCTGCAGAATCAGAACCGGGTCATTTCCCTCACTGCTGGATTCATTTGGATCTTAAAACACATCTACTGACATCACATGGACCCGAGCTTCACCTTTATCCAGAATCTAAATGACAGAGTCAACGTCACTCTGAATAGGTGGGTCAGAACCGGGGTTCTGGTGGTACCTGTTCTGTAGGACGATGGCAGGATGGTGGACACTCGGACTCCCCACGGCTCCAGCTCGTGCCTCAGCGTGTTGGTGAAGAGGTTCAGAGCGGCTTTGGACGCTCCGTACGCCGCCAGGCAGGGAAACGGCTGGTCGCCTGGAGACACAGGTGAGAGGGACATGACATCACACACACACCGACCAATCAGCTTCCTGCTTCTCAGCAGACGAAAGAACGAGTCCAGTCTTGGTGTTCTGGAGCTTTACAGGTAGAAACAACTGAAATGTTGAACGAGTTGGTTCCAGGTTTTTACATTTCAGTAAAATAAAAAACTAAAGAAAAGTTTAGCTTCTGACTAACAGAAGACGTCTGAGTTCTCCCTCCTCCCCCGTGTGTGTGTGTGTGTGTGAGTGTGTGTGTGTGTGTGTGTGTGTGTGTGTGTGTGTGTGTGTGTCTGTACACACCTGCGGGGCTGGATATGGTGACTATCCGTCCCTTGTTGTGTCTCAGCAGCGGCAGGAAGCTCTTGGTGATGCTCAGCGTCCCGAAGAAGTTCACCTCCATGCAGCCGCGGAAGTTGGACATCAGAGAGAGTTCAGCATCTCCAAAGTTCACACACACACCAGCGTTGTTCACCAAACCCCACAGACCTGCCACACACACAGCACACAGCACACACAGGTGAGACAGCGCCACTGCACCACAGGAGGCTTCAGCTGGTGGATTCACACAGTGCAGGTGTGCAGGCAGACTCTGCTCCCACTGCTCCCCCTGCTCCCCCTGCTCCCACTGCTCCCCCTGCTCCCACTGCTCCCACTGCTCCTGCCTGGAAGTCCTGCTCTGACCGTGAACTGAAACAGCCCTTATTGTCATGGAGACCAGGGCAGGGTCAGTGGTTACCATGGTTACAGAGACCAGGCAGCAGCTCAGCGGTGGACGGAGCAGAAGGAGGTCGGGGTTAGCTGCTGTGGCGCCGTCACATCCTCCACACACTGTTCACTGCAATATGAAGTTCTGATCAGACCTTATGAGATACTTTCAACATCTGACACGTGTTGGGACCTTCTGAGCGGGTTTCAGGTCAGTGCGGATACGGTTCGGTCCTTTTTGACATTTCTAATCATTCTGGACAAACTTTGAGTTATGAAGGAAAGTTCTGAGTCACTCTGGACCTTTCCTTCTTCTCTGTTTGGACTCAGGTCAGGAGGTCCGTCCCAGATGGAGCTGCCCTGTTCCAGATCAGGAGTCGGTGCTGCAGGACTCTGGGAGCAGCTCGGCACAAACACAGTGCTGTCCAATGATTCGATTTCAGTTTTTATTTTATGCGACTTCGTATTTTTGTTGTTTGGGTTTTTTGCAAACGAAACACGACCCAGCAGTTTATTAGAAGTGAATCTGGGACCGGTCCTCGGCTGGAGGACCACTCCAGTGAAGATCTCCATTGAAACAGGCTTTTAGTTGAGAACCAGGATGAGGGACGGAGCTGTGACGGGCTGATAAAGCAGAGCTAGCTGGAGACCTGTCACGGCTCCATCAGAGGTCGTTTTAAAACCTTTGTATGAACATAAATGCGGAGCTCCTCCTCCATGGACTCCACTGGTCCCTCTGCATGTGGTTCCGTGTCCTTGCTCTGCTCAGGGTCTGAACTTTTGCTCCACATTCAGGTCTGGCGTCAGCGTGCACACGAGGAAGCTGCCTTTATGTAACATCCCGTCCATTAGCGCTGCAGCAGATAGGGCTGTGATCAGAGCCACGCATTCAGCTGCACTTCAGCACCGGGCCGCCCCCTCGCCCTGCCAGAGTAAACAGGCTCGTCCTGACCCAGATCCAGGCTTTGTCTCGGAGGCTCTGTGGGAGCTTGTTTGGGTCTGATGACAGATAACCAGGACAACAACATGCAGACACCTCAGCGACCCGCCCAGGTGACTTCCTGGAGCTCATCCAGAGTCTCTACGGTCAGAGTCAGCGCTGGTCTTTATGGCCGGTACTGTAAATGAACTGGGTCACACTTCTCTTTAGGCTGGAACATGGAGCTGGTTCCGGTCCACAGCGGTGGTTCCAGCATTTTACATTTCACTACAATAAATAATTATAAAAATACGGTTTCTCCTCTCTGGTCTCCATGGTTCTGAGTCCTGCTGACAGAAGACGTCTCTGAGTTCTGTCTCCTCCTTCATGTGGTTCTGGTTCCTCAGAGCTGCAGGACTTGATGCTGAAACATGAAGCTCAGTGGGCAAACGAGCTGCTGTGGGATCAAAGGGTTAATAAACTCTCTGTAAACCTGTTTCCACTTTGGGTGGGTTACTGAGTGTAAACTGCTGATTAAAAGGACATTTGGACCGAACAAGGACCAGAACACAGCGAAGCTGAATTCTCACTTCTTAGAAACGGAACCTCAGAGTTGTGCAGTTGGATGATTTATGTCGCGTCCCACATCAGAAGTGCACACTCATGCAAACACATGGAGCACACAGAGTTCCAGAGCGAGGCTGACCTTTCCCCGCACTTCTTTTATTACATCCACCCACACACTGCGTATCCTTAAATGACTGGAAGGTGCAGCCAGCAGTCGGGCTAATTACAAAGCAGCTCGGAGCCAATCGCAGGAGACTCTGATTTCACAGTGTGAAACACGAGAGATCAGCTGCACCGACAGACCTTCTCCCGTTGTTCCCACGTCCAGCTTCTTCTGCTTCTGTCTCAGTGATTTCCTAGAAGGCTGCTGGACCGACTCCAGCTCACATTCCACCACAGAACACAGAACCAGCAGAACCAGGCAGCACTTAAAGGAGCAGCTCCACATTTACTGAGAGAGTGGTGGCAGCAGGAGGTTCAGCCTCTGAACTCTGAGCACTTTGTCTCCTTTATTATCACTGAGCTTCATGTTTCTGAAAAACACAAATAAAAGTTTAATTTTTTTGTAAAAATGTTCTTAAATGTAAAAACCTGGAAGCACAGATGTTCCTGATCCTGGATCCTGTAGATCTTTAACTGTTTGTGCTTTTACAGCCTCTACAGACGCTGAGACACGTCTGTTGTCTCTCTGTCGGCGCCTCGTTGTTGCTTTTGTGTCTTATTTGTGTCAGTGTGTCAGATGTTGTAACCTCCAGACGTCTCCTCTCTGCTCTGCTCATCAGATGTAGAAAGATGCTCCTCCATCAGATGAATGTATCTCCACCAACTGGCTCCTCTGGTCTCTGGTTCTGATCCGTGCTGCATCTATTCATTGATCCAGTAGGATGGATTCTCCTTCAGGCTCTCTGAGGAAACTCTCTGAATGGTTCCTGTTGGTCAGAGCTGGGTCAGTGGTGGAGGATCAGAACCAGGAGGAGGAGGAAGGTTCTGGTTCTACAGGATCAGAACCAGGAGGAGGAAGGTTCTGGTTCTACATGATTAGAACCAGGAGGAGGAAGGTTCTGGTTCTACAGGATCAGAACCAGGAGGAGGAAGGTTCTGGTTCTACACATGTAGAATAATGGGACTTTGATGAAACATGGGGATGTTAAACTTTGTGGATCTTCCTGATGAACAGCACAATGGTTCTTGTGTTCTTACAGTTTGTGGCTGATGAATGCTTTGTGCTCTCAGAACCACCGGACCTCTGGATGTTTTCCTTCTGCTGGGAGTTCCTCGTGTGCTGCTCTCTCCAGTCATTGCCTCTGTCCTCAGTTTAACCCTTCATAAGTGCAAACATCTGGAAGACATCAGGCCTCAGACTGCTGCTCTGAAGTGTCAACATGTCAGAAATGACAAAAAGCTGTTTTTGTAACGTTTTCATCCAAAGTTCATTAGTGGCAGCATGATGGAGCTGCAGCTGATGCTGGAGGACCTGATGACAGCAGCTCAAGAGGAGGAGGAGGAGCCAGAGACCTGAAGCCCGGTTTCACCACAACAGAACCAGAAGCTGCTCTTAAACTCAGAATGAACAGAACAATGAGCAGATGTTGTCCCCAGGGTTTCCTCATCACCTCCCAGTGCTCCCAGTGCTCCCAGTCTGCCTCTCTGCATCTCATTACTTTCTGAAGGGTAACTCTTTAGAGACCTGATGACTGACCTCCAGGAAGCAACACGGATCCCAAAAAAAGTTTAGAATAAAGTCACACAAAGGACCTTAAAGACAAAAAGGCTGCATGAAAAAAATGCCTTCAAAGTGTGCATCGATGTTCTGGTTCTGGTCCTGATCCTGATTCTTTCCTTCTAACATGTTTATATAGACTTCCATATTTCATAGGAAAACCTTCTGTCTTTTTGTTTTTTTAGATTATCACCATCTGATGTGTACTAATAATCTCTCACCGCTGGTTCTGATGCTTTATTCATTCATTTATTTGTTGTTTGTTTGTTTGTTTGTTTGTTTGTTTGTAGTGTCAGTTGTTTAAAAAAACCCTCACACTCAGGACTTTAATGACAAAAATGTCATAAAACTGCGTCATGATGTCATTTCTGCTGATTCCTTTTCATCTCCAGTCTCTTCTTCACCAGCGTCGTCTGTTTTCCCGTAATCCAAGCAGCTTAAAGCTTCAAACCTCAACACGTCACCAACGTCTCCAGATGCAGTCAAGTGAGTGTGGACTCGGTAAATGCAGGTTGTGAATGTGTTTATCATAGCTTAGCATAGCCTAGCTTAGAATAGCATAACTTAGCACAGTCTAGCGTCGCTTAGCATAGCCTAGCATAGCGTAGCTTAGCACAGTCTAGCATAGCTTAGCATAGTGTAGCTTAGCATAGCCTAGCTTAGCTTAGCATAGCGTAGCACAAAGTGTCGGGGGCCTGGGTGTTTACCTTTGAGGCCCAGCTTGGCCTTGGTGTCCAGCAGGGCCTGGTGGACCTGCTGCGGCTGGGTGATGTCCACCTGCAGCAGGGTGAGTCGGGTCGAGCAGCTCCTCTGCAGCTCTCGCGCTCCGTCTCCACTCAGATCCAACACTGTGGCGAAAACCTCGAAGCCCAGAGAGTCCAGATGCTTCGCCGTGGCGTTACCGAAACCAGAGTCGCAGCCTGCAGGGACACGAGAGTGAAAATCAAAAGTCTGCAACAGTCACATCTGGAGTACGAACATTTTTTAAGGGATTTTTCCGTGAAGCCACTTTAAATATTTCAAATGTTTGTGGTCAAGAACAAACTCAAAAGTTTGCTTCAGTCTTTTTGATAAAGTTACACTCAACCAACAAACTGCTGAGTCACCAGAACGCACTCAGTGTTTTTAACTACCAGCCTGAAGCTGTGCTCACGGTGAAACCAGGACCGGTTCCCCCGCTGCATTAAGGATGGCTGCAGGACAAAATGGATTTGGATCAGAACTTCAGGACATTGTTGTGTTGACATGATGATGTGGCTTCAGCTGAACTTTGTGTGATTAAAACTCAGACTTCTTCAGTTTAAAACTAAATTCAAGTCGAGAGGACTGAATAGAACCGACTTGAAACGCTGCAGTTCAGGACAAGTCACAGGTCAGGTTCTCCTGAGGCCTCCTGAGATCCTCACCAGGACCGACACCTGGAGGCAGCTGAGCTTTGATGAACACCTGAGACTCTGAGCACTGCCTCCTGATGAAGGTGACGCATCCTCAACAACCACAAACAGGAGTTTACGGACGCTCTGGCAGGTGATGGACAGGTGCTCTACAGCAGGCTCCGCCCCCACTGGGTCGACTGGATGAACCTGATTTACATAAAGTAGCTGAAAACTCAGCGTTTGTGGAGCCGTGGACCAGAGCAGGGTTCTGGCTGCTCTGTGGTCCTGCAGGTCGGGATCCTTTGGTCCAGTCTGAATGGGGTTCGATGAGTCCGGTTTCCTCTGACTCCGACAGAAACAGAAGCTCACGTGTTGTTTCCCAGAAACAGCCGCTGTGGGATCCGTCACGTCGTCGCGGCTCCCCGTTTCCCAGAAGTCCCGGCTCTACAACCTGATCCGCGGCGGGACTCGCTGTTCTGTTTGTTCCTTTGTGGCGGCGTCTAAAGAGCTGCTGGCTGCCGCTTCCCTCCGTGTCCTTGGAGGACGTCCAGAGTCCGTCCTGAGGAGGGAAATAAATCTGCAGCTCTGCACAAACACCTGACTGAGACGTGCACACGCTGGCTTCACCTGCCAGCAGCTGAGCTGCTGACCGAGGCTCCTGTTTCACCGTCACACTGAAACCTCGGTGTTCTGCAGCTGGAGGCCGAACCGAGTCAGGACCACACGGGCTTCACTCCACTAAACACTGGTTCTGTTCTCACATGACATCAAGTGAGTTTGTGATGTTGAATAAAGAATGTTCAGGTGAGAGGACCTACAAGACGCCAGTTTGCTGTCTAAGAGGAGCAAAGAAACCAGAAAACTCTGAAGGAGCTGAAATCAGACTTCACAGTGTTCAAAGTTACAGATGATAAACCAGTGAGACTGTCCTCAGATCAGCTCCACTTTAATGATCATTATTAATCATAGATCAGATTTATGTAGCGCTTTTCAAGTTTTAATCGTCGTTTCAAAAACACAGAAGTCCAGCTTTAGATTCTACGAGCTGATATTTCTGATATTTTTCTAAAATGTTTAATGTTCAAGAATATTTTGTGTGTTTTATGTTTTTGATCATATGTTGGACTTTTGAAGAAATATTTTTCAGAAAAGTCTTAAACCTTCGTGTTTTGTGCTCCATGTTTCCTTCAGTGCTCCTGACACACACACACACACACACACACACACACACACACACACACACACACACACACACACACATATTATATATTAGCACTTATTGTATTGATCCTGATCTTACTACTTGTTGTTTTTGTCCTGTCTCTCAGTGTTTTGTCATCATCCCAGTGCTTCTTCAGTGTGTTTCACTGGTTTTCTCTTTGCTCTCTTCTGGTTTTTGCAGATTTCCGTGCTGCTGTCTGATCACATGTTCTGCTGCAGTTGATTTAAACTCTGTCGTATAAAGCTGGAAGGTAAAAAGGTCGAGCAAGTGAAGCTGGTTCTCCGGAGATGAAGCAGCTGCAGAGGTCAGACGGAGTTAAGAAGCTGGAAACCAGCGAAGCTTTGACAGGACCAGCGAACACCTCATCAGTTAGACCCCAGAACCTCCGAGAGTTAAGCTCTCAGGGCTTCGTCTGAGGAGAAAAGGAGTAAAGCAGAACCTTTAAAGCTCCACTTCTACCATTTGCAGGTGAGACAGAGCTGTGGCTCTGATGAATGAGGTTCTGTTCCCAACGTCCAGGTGCAGAACGTTGGAGAACCTCCAGAGTCCCAGCAGGTGGTTCTGATTCTGAACGGGACCATCAGTTAAAGCAGCAGAGCTGCAGCGGTACCAGACTACCGGTTTGGTTCTGAGGCCGGCAGAACCGAGCCCATCGCTGACATTAACACAGACAGACAGATTTCACTGTTACTCAGCACAAGCTCAGGTCAGTTCACATCTGCACAGACAAGGTCCTTCATCAC